CTCCGTCCCAAGGTCTCCGCCCCCAAGGTCAGCCACCTGGGCGCGGAGGGAGGAATCAAGTCTGTTGTACCAGACACCAGACCTTGAGAATATGCTGATCTGGAATGGCTCTGTGCCTCATTTGAACCATCAAATAGAATCCCTGCTCCTAGCTTGCGCCTTTTTCCCTATATAAGGACCCCTTTCCCTTGGCTCGGGGCGCTTAGCCACACAAAGGCTAAGTCGCCCCGGGTACCCGCGTCTCCAATAAAGCCTCTTGTTTTTTGCATCCAGTTCGTGGCCTCGCTGATTCCTGGGTGTGTGGGTCTCCCTCTACGAAAGTGCCTCTTCGGGGGTCTTTCATTGGTAACACTACTGATGAAGAATGTGAGAACCTTTTATCCTTTGCTGTTAAGTTTATAGCTATTTTTATCCACATCAGCTCCTCTGACAGTTCTTAAAAAGTAAAGAAAAGGGCAGATACTCTCATTATACCAAGACTATCTAGCTGTGACCTAGCTATATAAATCATTATTTCTTCTCTCCCCGAACACATGCACATATGCATGCACACATGTACACAAGGATCTGCTTAATGATTTCCTCATAAATGTGCATCTATCTGGTTCAAATTTTACAATGTTATACATGTGATAGCTTTTCTATTTGTAAAAGAAAGAGTAGGGACACAGAGACTCAGAAAGGGTCTTCCCAGATGAACTCCAGTTCAACTTCATCCAGGAGGGTCAACAAAAACAACTTTTCAGAGAGCTAAGAGACAAAATTCACTCCCAACTGCATCTCCCATTATCACTGCCCAGAATCCATATCTATATGCCTGCCACCCTGGGGACACAGTGTACCTCTATGATGTTTAAGAGGGTCAGATCAGATGAAAAATTTGGAGGAAATCTCCATTTATAGTAGTTTTGTAGATTCAAGAATCTTTCCCACTTTTTATTCCTTTAATGGAAGTAAAGAATCTAAGTAATACCTCTAACTTCCTGTTCCTGGCCTTCTCTGAGCACTCTTTGGGCTTTGCCTGGGTGTGTACCTCATCACCTATCGAGAAATCTGCTCATCACCATTGGCCATTGGCTCTGACCAGCATCTCTATATGCCCATGAACTTCTTCATGGCCAACCTGTTCTTCATCAATGTCTGCTCCATCTATACCATTATCTCCAAGGCACTGGTGAACATCGAGACCATCCTGGAACTAGCTCTGTAGACCAGGTTGGCCTCAAATTCAGAGATCCCCCTGCCTCTGCCTCCGGGGAGCTGGGATTAAAGGCATGCGCCACCACCACGTGGCCAGTGATCAACAGTTTTAAAACGTCTCTTATGTGTTCATATCATTGATCCGTTGTCTCCTTGGCAATTTTAAACTGAGCCAGACAGGTTTTTTACATTGATGACATCAGCATGTCCTTGTCTTCTTTGTGTTAGTGTCATAGCTAATTCTGTATCTCCCCATGGTGTTTTACTAATTTATGTTAGGTAGCACACAGAATGTGTCTCATTGTGATACTTGCATGTACATAGGTCTCTGCAGTTGCTCATGTTCAGCTCTTCTTGCCCACCTTTGTCACCCACCTTCCCTTGCACAGGTCTGCCCTTCCTAAATAGTTCCCCTTCTGCTTGTGTGTCCCATAGGAGAACAAGCACACAACGTTTGTAATTCTCACCATCTCATTACTCTCTTGTTCCTCTTTTTCATTTTTTATACATATAAGGTAGTTTTATATTATATGTGTTCATATCAGAAGATCTTGTTCTTTGTAACTGCTTTTCCTTAGATTTTGACTACAACCCCTCCATTCAAGATTCATGAAAATAATTAAGTATTTTTGATCTCCTAGTGAAATATATTGCTTTAATATATACAATCAGGAATTACTGTAAAGCCATATGATTAAAGTGGTCTTCTCTCAACACAGCCTTCTTATTTTCTGTAAATGATTGTATTGTTTGCCAAAAGTTATAAATATTTTCTCTACACAGGGACTTGAAATAGGATTCTGGGTTTCTGGCCATGTCCTATTTCATGATCTAGGGACAGTCATAGGTGTTTTAGAAAATTACACTCTACAAATACAGCTCTGTCCTTTTTCTGAATACAGTAACAAATATTTCTTAAACTGTTTACTCCACATACCTAAAATTACAGAAAGGCTGAGAATAAAGGAGTTGAAAAATAATGTCATAAAAGTATTGACATAGCTCAGTTATTATCAAATGGCTAGATTTTAAGGAATTATTACACACATAAATGTTCATGTAGTAAACCTTCCATTTATCAGGAAAACATAAACAATTTTATTTTTTAATTTACAAACATGCATGAATAAAATTAATAAAAATAAAATATATAAAGGCATTCTTTTATTTTTTGTTTTTTGTTTTGTTTTGTGTTTTGTCTTTTGAGACAAGGTTTCTCTATGTACTTCCTGGCTGTCCTGGAATTCACTCTGCAGACCAGTTGGCCTTGAACTCAGAGATCTGCCTACATGTGTTGGGATTACAGTATTTGGATTAAAGACACGGGCCACCACCACCCAACAGATAAAGCATTCTTTATAATGTTTTATATTTATGTATTTGTGTCGGGGAAAGAGGAGGAGGTCATGCATGTGCCAAGTTAGAGAACAACTTTCAGGGTTCAGTTCTCTTTATTCTATAATGGGGGCTCCAGGATTGAACTCAAGTCACCAGGCTTGGTAGCAAGTGCCTTCACCTGCTGAGTCATCCCACTGACCCACAAATCCATTCTTATTAAGAGATTTCTAACATACTGATGGCAAATCATTGAGTAAATAGATTGTTCTAAACTCAGTAATGATATTTAAAAAGTACAATTAGCAACAGACATGTATAGGGTATTGCACTTAATACTTGCAAATGAATGGAAGAATTCAAGGAAAAATGTACTTTGTTCACATACTGAGCCATTTAAAGAATACTCAATAAATGTCAATGAGCTAAAATCACAAATATCACATGTAACTGAGTTAAAAATCATAACAAAAATGTAACTAGAAGGGCTATGGAGATGACTCCATCAGAAATGTGCTTTCATGAAGTTTAAACTCAGAACTCCTGTTTTAAAAAAAACTGTGTACAAGAACAAATATTCCTAGTGTTGGGGAGGCAGAGACAGGGGGATCCTTGAGGTTTGTTGGCAAACCAGACTGACTAAATGGCAAGGAATTTCCAGGTTCAGTGAGAGAACCTCTGTCAGAAAAACAAGGTAGAAAGTAATTGAGGAAAACAATTGAGTTAACCTTTTGTTTACACACACACAGGCATGCACGAAACTAGAAATCCCTATATTTTGGGGGGTTTGGAACTCAGCAGAAATAATCTAGGAATAAAAGAAGCTAGCATAAAGATATTTGTTACAACATAAATTGCAGAAAACCTACAAACTCATGGAAACAATTGAACAACGTGCAATTGCACCATTCCTGGGTCGAGGATGAAATAAAATAGAAATTAAAGACTTCCTAGAATTCAATGAGAATGTGGACACAACATGCCCAAACTCTTGGGACCCTTTGAAAGGAGTACTAAGAGGAAAGTTCATAGCACTAAGTGCCCATATGAAGAAACTGGAGAACAGTCACACTAGAGAATTAACAGCACAACTGCAAGCTCTAGAACACAAAGAAGCCAACACATTCTGAAGGAGTAGACACCAGGAAATAATCAAATTGAGGGCTGAAATCAATAAAGTGGAAACTAGAAGAACAATACAAAGAATCAATATAACAAAAAGTTGGTTCTTCAAGAAAATCAACAAGATAGACAAACTTTTATCCAAACTTACCAAACAGCAGAGAGTAAACATGCAAATTAATAAAATCAGAAATGAAAGGGGGGACATAACAACAGACACAGAGGAAATTCAGAAAATCATCAGGTCATACTTTGAAAACCTATATTCCTTAAAATTCAAAAACCTAAAGGAAATGAACAATTTTCTGGATAGATTTCACTTACCAAAATTAAATCAAGAATAGATAAGCAACTTAAATAGACCTATATCCCCTAATGAAATAGAAGCAGTCATGGAAAGTCTTTCAACCAAAACAAGCCCAGGGCCAGATGGCTTCAGTGCAGAATTCTACCAGAAATTCAAGGAACAGCTAATACCAATTCTCCTCAAAGTATTCCACACAATAGAAGCAGAAGGGTCATTGCCAAACTCTTTTTGCGATGCTTCAATAACCTTGGTACCTAAGCCACACAAAGACACAACTAAGAAAGAGAACTACAGACCAATATCCCTCATGAACATTGATGCAAAAATACTCAATAAAATACTGGCAAATCAAATCCAAATACACATCAGAAAAATCATCCACCATGATCAAGTAGGCTTCATCCCAGGGATGCAGGGATGGTTCAACATATGAAAATCCATGTAATCCATCATATAAACAGACTAAGAAAAAAACCACATGATCATTTTACTAGATGCTGAAAAAGCCTTTGACAAAATCCAACACCCCTTCATGATAAAGGTCTTGGAGAGATCAGGTATAACAGGAACATACCTAAACATAATAAAGGCAATATACAGCAAGTCAACAGCCAACATCAAACTAAATGGAGAGAAACTCAACAAGATTCCCCTAAAATCAGGAACAAGAGAAGGTAGAAAATATTTTCAATGAAATAAATACCAAGATAAGGCTATTTATAAGAAATTTATAACATTAAAATTGTTAGAAATTAAAAACTTAAGCTATAAAATTATGGGCTAAGCTTCCATCTTAAAACATTATAGGAAAAATGGATGAATTAATCCAAGTAAGAAAAGAAAAACAAGAGATGGACAAGCCAGGCCCAGTGTGACTGTCTCTTCCTGCTGCCTGCCAATCCAGATGTAGAACTCCCAGCCACCTCTCCAGAGCCATGTCTCCCTGCATGCTGCTGCGGTGCTTCCTGCTACGATGGCTATTACCGCACTGAGAAAGATAAAGGCACACAGTATGAACTCTTTTTTAAGAAAGCAGACCTTATGGAATACAGACATGTGACCCTCTTCCGCCCTTTTGGACCACTCATGAAAGTGAAGAATGAGATGATTGACATTACCAGATCAGTTATTAACATCATTGTGCCGCTTGCTGAAAGGACTGAAGCATTTTCACAGTTTATGCAGAACTTCAGAGATGTTTGTATTCATCAAGACAAGAGGATTCATCTCACAGTTGTGTACTTTGGGAAAGAAGGACTATCTAAAGTCAAGTCTATCCTAGAATCTATCACAAGTGAGTCTGATTTTCACAATTATACTTTGATCTCACTGAATGAAGAATTTAATCGTGGACGAGGACTAAATGTGGGTGCCCAAGCGTGGGACAAGGGAGAAGTCTTGATGTTTTTCTGCGATGTTGATATATATTTCTCAGCCGAATTCCTTAACAGCTGCCGGTTAAATGCTGAGCCAGGTAAAAAGGTATTTTATCCTGTGGTGTTCAGTCTTTACAATCCTGCCATTGTTTATGCCAACCAGGATGTGCCACCCCCTGTGGAGCAGCAGCTGGTTCATAAAAAGGACTCTGGTTTTTGGAGAGATTTTGGCTTTGGGATGACTTGTCAATATCAATCAGATTTCCTGGCCGTTGGTGGATTCGACTTGGAAGTAAAAGGCTGGGGTGGAGAAGATGTTCATCTTTACCGGAAATACTTACATGGTGATCTGATTGTGATTCGGACTCCAGTCCCTGGTCTTTTCCACCTCTGGCACGAGAAACACTGTGCAGATGAGCTGACGCCTGAGCAGTACCGCATGTGCATCCAGTCCAAAGCCATGAACGAGGCTTCTCACTCCCACCTGGGAATGATGGTCTTCAGGGAGGAAATAGAGATGCATCTTCGCAAACAGGCATACAGAACAAACAGCGACACCGCCGGGTGACAGCCATCAACACAAGAAAGTCTGAACCACAAACCAGCACTGTTTATTCAGCCTTAATTCAAATCCCAGATTCTGTGCCTCTTCCAGAGGGGGAAAATGTTTATTTTTCATGTTCTTCCTGAATTTTTTCTGTAGTTCAGCTTGATGTAAGAAGAAAACGCAGGTGTTTTGATGCAAAGCCGGTTTTGTGAGAGCATTATAGTAGAAACAGTTTACAAAATGAAATTTGGTATTTGTTTCCAAAATAGTTTGAAATAGAGTCTGCCTGGTACCTGTGTTCTGATTGGTCCAAGTGTGCTAGGCCGATGTTGAGTAGCTTGGCACATCTATAGGAAACAGAGTATTGGTTCATCATGCTGTACAGGCAGATAGCACTGCTAACTGCTAAGTCGATCATTCACCTTCAGTTTTTAAATGAGAGCTTCTGTTGATCACATGTGGAATATTTTTCACAGAGAATCATTGGCAAATCTGTAATCTCCAGTCCACCAAGAAGACAGAAATCAAAGCCCTTTAACTTCTTGCCGCTTTACCTCTAAATATCTTCTTTAAGCCAATGGAGAAAGTAGACATAGTTTAGAATCTACTGTTTGATGATAAAGAAAATATATCATTTTATCATGTTCAAAACGCATAGTCAAAACTGCAGTCGATTGTTTTGAGTAAATACGGAAGCATTTGAACAAAGCATTTTATTACGGTACAGGAGAATAGCTGTGTTTGGAAACATCTTTTTATGTCAGCCAGATGCATCAGACCTTCCTGAAGAGGCATAGAAGATATGGACATTACAGTGGGTTTTGTATGGCTCCTGTTTTGCATTGTCTTATTTAGCATGGGTACATATATATTTATTTTCTAATATGTTAATATTTGCCACAACTGTATTTGCATTTATATTATACTTTCTGTTGAAGGAATTTCATTGAAAAAAATGGTTTAATGCATTATATAATAAGATCACTCTGATTTGAGAAAAGGGAAGGAAAGTAATCATAGAAATATGAATTATGGAGTACTTTAAAAATTATGTACAGATTGAATGTTATTTTAATTGAAGTGTAAATTATATTAATGAGGTAAGAGGAACAAGAAATTATATTCTAATAAGACTGTACTATAGTATTTATCACATGGATATTTTATTAGTGGGCCATTTACTAGACAAAGTAAAAGGCATGAGTAATTGTTTTAACCCTTGACTTTTAAAAGGGACCTGTTATTTGTATATAACCCATGAAAACTCAGAAAAAGTCATTGTTGTTCAGTAAGTCATACACTTTCAAATGTTACAAATGCCAAACTTCTAGGTGCTAAAGTGAATCCAGTTTCATAATAACTAATTGATGAGGGTTCTAGCTGGGATTGTGTCTAGGTGTTTTGTTTTGTTTTTTTAAGATGTGTAATGTGCTTTGTGCAGAATAGGAAAAGCCAGCATCTCCTTTGTACACTTTTATTGTGAAGACCAAGAACATGGTATTTGAAATTAGGGAACTTAATTATTTGCAAAGGTGGATTTTTGGCTTGGTTTTAAGATAATCAAATAATTTTTACTTTAACATCTATTTTTTAAAACTAGCTTTTATCTGAAGATGGAAGCTAGGCTATGAGAGCATTACTATATTTTTTACATTAAGTGGTACCAATAAAGTATTTTGTTACCAAAGTTAAAAAAAAAAAGAAAAGAAAAACAAAACACATAAGAGCAAAACATGAGGAAATAGAGTAGAACCTGACAGAAAAGAACAAGAAAGAGAATGGCCAGGCACCAGGGCTCATGCCTGTAATTCATATAGGGAAGGAATGATGGGACGTGTTTGGAAAGAGGTATGCTGTTTAATGACAATCCAATGTCCACTCTCTTGCAATTCAGTTTAAATACCACATGGTTCAATACATTAGGATCTCTGTGAAATCACCAAACCATGTACTATCTAAACTGAGTTGTGAGGGAATTGACATAAAATGATTGTTTTATAGACTCTTTTATATGTTTTATGTGTATGAGTTCAAACCGAGGTCTTTTTGCACCATGCTAGACACATTCTCTACAACTGAATCACACCCTCTGAATCTATAGGCTATGTTTGCAACAATAGATGATAGATAGGTAGATAGATAGATAGATAGATAGATAGATAGATTATAGATAGATGATTATAGATAGATGATTATAGATAGATGATGATAGATAGATGATGATAGATACATGATAGATGATTGATAGTGATAGACAGATGATAGATCGATGATAGATGGATAGATAGATAGATAGATAAATAATAGCACCATATACAGAAACTTTTCCTAATAGATAAGCTATATATTAATTAGTATTATCTCCAATACCAAAAGTATTGTAAGAAAGCCCTCTCTTTTGCATGCCTTTTACAGGTATTTATGATTCCTAATTAATTTCATTATTCACTTGTTATTTTCTGAATCATGCATATTTCATGCTTAAGGACTCTGATTAGAAATTGTGTCCTCCACAACAAAGAAGACTCTTAGCATAAGAAATGATGACAATGTTGTTATCAACTGGAAGCCCAGTAGAAAAGCAAGTACAAGGGCCCTGTGCATTCTAGCCCTGATCACTCTGAATGGAGTTATTAATGACATGGATGGGACCCATGGAACCACAATCCAGAGGAGACAGCTGGTCACTGGATAATTGCCCTATTTTGTCTAATGGCAGGTCTGGGACTGGGCCTCAAGGGACACTGCATGTGAAAATCACCACCTTTTCATGACTCTTAGGCCTGAGGAGTCATTAAAGACCTAAGACTTCTAGCTACAAACAAGACAGACACTGTGAGTACAGTCAGATTTTCTTGGGGTGACAATGAGGCAGTGAATTCCACCATCTTGGTGGTAAAGGCACTGTGTGAGACTAGCCCCATCTCCAGGTAAAACTGGGGCATGGAACAGGGAGGGAAAACAGAAGCTACCTATGATTCATGAAACATGTCTTCATACACACACAGTACATAGGCTCTTTTTTCTTTCTCGTTTTTCTTTCTTTTTGGCAATCATTTTCTGGCCCTTCTGATCACCATGTAAGGCACCTAGAATTATATGACACTCCTAGAACCACCTCAGTCTTCAATTTTAATTCATATTAGTAAAAATACTTTAGGTTTGTGAGGTTCTTCTTGGTCCAGCATTTTACTGGCAAATAACTAAAGCCTATCCTATTCATTACTGGTATATTATAATACTATTTTGGTTGTAATTATTAAGTTACCTGAAAAGTTGATGTATGCTTTCCATATGCCAAAAATGAATGCTTTTCCATGGATTATCCTAAGATTCACAACTACTAAAAGATAAAGGGGGTGATGGGGATGTTACCAATAATTCTCACTTAAAATTGTCACTGTAAACCCAACCTCCAGACAGTAAAAAAAAGACAGATAAAAACACACTTTCTTGTATTAAAGCAATAATTCCAATAATACTTTACTGAGTACTTTCTATGTGCTAGATTTATTCTAAATAATTTAAAGTCATCAAACTTAATTGTCATAGCATTCTACACTACCATCATCCCACTTAAACAGATTTGTAAAACAAAGTCAGAGAAATAAATAATGTTCTCAACATCTATACTGTCACACTATGAGAGAATATTTATTTTAACCACTGCATTGAACACACATGAAATTAGCACCAGCTTTCACTAAATGTTCTCTTCATTTACTCTACACCACTGTGCAGCAGTGCTATAATTTCTCCTTTGGGTTATACATAATGATTCACAAAGAAACTTCAGATGACCCCATCATTTGGGCTTCTCAACAAACTTCTCAGGTAAGGTTTTTAATCTGCATTTTGTGGGCCAGAAAAGCAACTTCAAAGCATGCGAAAACCGAACTGGGAACACGTTAACTGATGCTTCCCATTGAATTGTGTCCCAGGCTCCCATCTCACCGCTGACTACTAATCCTGGCAATGACTCCTACACAAACACAGAAATTCAGCTTTCCATGGCGCTTGTCTCAGTAATGACAATGCACTATGGAGAAGTCACACATGCAAATGAAGAGTGATTCAGAGAGGAAAACAGCTGACAAGGTCAGCCTGACAATGAGGAGCACAAAGAGGATTGCTTTCTGCTATCTAGGGAGTCCTAATCTTAAAGTGGAAAGTGTTGATGATGAAGCTGAGGATGAAAGGGAACTGATACCTCCTAATGATGTGTTTTTCAGGTTCACATTGCATTAAGTCACTACAGTGGTGATGAGAAGCAAGGGGCTAGTTAGTGCATGCCAGCATGTCTGTCTAAGCTCACTTCTCTGTGAAGAAATTGTTCTGTTTCTGACTGCCTTAAAATGCATATAGAGAAAAAAACGGTGGGGGGGGCAGAGGGAAGAAGAAAGAATGAGAACCTTTGGACTGTCTGTTAAATTTTAGTAATAAATTACCTCAAATGGACTCTAACCTAAGTCATTGAGATTGAAACTAATACTAAGTGCCTTTATAAAGGAGCCAAGATTGAAGAGGTATGAACTCCAGTTTAGGGGCTAGAGCACTGGCTCAGCAGTTAAAAGCACTAGATATTCTTACAGAGGACCCAGTTCAGTTCCCAGCACTAACACAGCAGCTCCAATTCCAAGGTGTCCAAATGCCCTTTTCTGGCCTCTTTGGGCACCAGGCATACACATGGCACACATACATGCACATATCATATGCTCATATGCATACATACATACATACATACATACATACATACATACATGTATAGAGAGGGGGGAAATATATGAGACAAACATCCAGTTTAGCCTCATTCAGACAGTCTTGGGGAGAACTTGCTGTAATACAGTGATGGAGAAGCCAATGACCTACTTTCCCAATTTTTCATCATGACCAGACACACTCCTAATAGTTACATATTTACAAATGAAGTTACAAGCACTAGTCATTCTTAATGGCCTTTAAAGGAGCAAGGGACTATCAAAAAGTCACTAGAATCTGTGACTTTTTAAAACTTACTTAACTTAACTTAACTTAACTATACTTTACTCACTTACTTAACTATAACCCCTTGCTAATCTATCTGCCTTAGAAGGAAACTAGAAACCAAACGGCCATCTCTGACTTCTTGCTTATGGGCTTTTCTGAACACCCAGAGCAGCAGCCTCTCCTGTTCACTCTCTTCTTGGGAATGTACCTGGTCACCCTGTTTGGGAATGTGCTCATCATCCTGGCCATTGGCTCTGACGAGCACCTCCACACACCCATGTACTTCTTCTTGGCCAACCTGTCCTTCATTGATACCTGCTTCACCAGCACCATTGTCCCCAAAGTATTGACCAACATCCAAACCCAGCATCACACCATCTCCCATGCTGGGTGCCTTCTGCAAATGTATTTCTTCATGGTACTGGCCATGCTGGATGACTTCCTGTTGGCTGTGATGGCCTATGATCGCTATGTGGCCATTTGCCTTCC